ATGACCTGAGCCGAAGGCAGACACTTAACGGACTGAGCCACCCAGGTGCCCTGGAGACTGTCTTTAAAAACCAGAGCATGGTTTTCAAAGTAACTTAAATAGTGAAATGAAGGACAGCTTTTTAAGATATTGTTTGATTCCTGCTGAATTTAGAATTAAACCAACCTTTTCTCCTCAGGTGAGACCTGCCCAAGAAGTTTATGGGAAAAGGGGATATGTACGACTATGATTTTTTCTCCCCTGATTTTACTCTATTTAATCTGTTTAGACACAGCCCCCCACCTACCAGCCACTGCCTGTGTCCATTTTTTAGAGTACTTTAGGTTTACAGAAGAGTTCCCCTAAGTCCCGCCCCCACCCAGAAATTCCCCCTATTAACTCTTACATTGATTAGTGTTTTATATTTGTTACAAATGATGAATCAACACAGCATTCTTACCTACAGCCCGCCCTTTATATGAAGCTTCATCCCTGTGCATTGTCTGGGCTATGACAAATGTGTAATGATGATCCGCCATTACTGTGTCAAATGGAGTAGTTTCACTACCCTGAAAGTCCCCTGTGCTACCCACCTCCCCCACTAACCTCTGGCAACCACTGTTTGGTTTTTTTTTTTTTTTTTACTGTGTCCCTTGTTTAGTCTTTAACAGAATGTCCTAGGGTTGGGGTCCTTTTCAGACTGGCTGCTTTCATTTTGTAATAAGCATTTAAGGTTCCTCCTTGTCTTTTCGTGGCTTGAGAGCTCATTTCTTTGTAGTGCTAAAGTGCCACGGTGTGTGGAAGTTTATCCATTTTATCCATTCATCTATTAAGGACATCTTGGTTGCTCCCAATTTGGGGCAATGATGCATACAGAGAGTTTTTATAAATATCTGTGTCCTGCTGGCAGGCGTGGACCTAAGTTTTCAACTCCTTTGGGAAAATTCTGAGTAGTGTGATCGCTGGATTGTATCACATGGAGAATTTTTAGCGTGATTTGCCAAGATTTCTCTTTGGTCAGCGGCTTTAATCAAAACTTTTTTTTTTTAAAGATTTATTTATTTATTTGACAGAGACACAGTGAGAGCGGGAACACAAGCAGGGGGAGCGGGAGAGGGAGAAGCAGGCTTCCCGCGGAGCAGGGAGCCCGATGCGGGCCTCGGTCCCAGGCCCCTGGGATCATGACCCGAGCTGAAGGCAGACGCTTAACGACTGAGCCACCCAGGCACCCTTCAATCAAAACTTTTTAAAGGTGGGGCGCCTGGGTGGCTCAGTCGTTAAGCGTCTGCCTTCAGCTCGGGTCATGATCCCAGGGGCCTGGGACCGAGGCCCGCATCGGGCTCCCTGCTCCGCGGGAAGCCTGCTTCTCCCTCTCCCGCTCCCCCTGCTTGTGTTCCCGCTCTCGCTGTCTCTCTCTCAAATAAATAAATAAAAAATCTAAAAAAAAAAACAAAAACTTTTTAAAGGTGTAATGTACATAAAGTGCGCTCATCTTAATGGATGCTTTGACCTTGTGTGTGTGTGTGTGTGTGTGTATAGGAGATCAAGATTCGGAGTGTGTCCAGCACCTCTGTTTACATACCGTCTCAGGCAGTGTCCTCTCAAGCGCCTGCAGACACTCCTCTGACTTCTAGCACTATCCCTTAGTCCTGCCGGTCAGCCAGCTCCCACCCTGCTTTTGAAAGCAAATTTTTGTGGGGGGGGGGGTTGGCGGGGAAAGGGGCTGTTAATAGCAGTATGCTTTATTTTAATTTCCTCATTGTTCATGCTGGTCTGGAGCAGAGAGGTTGGCACAATTTCTGGGTAAATATTTTCGACTGCAGGCTATCAGATGAATAAGTGTGGCTGCATTCCAATAAAACTTTACAGAAACGGGAAGTGGGCCAGATTTGGCTCCTGGGCCAGAGATTATGAATCCAGTGTACAGCAGGGCTTTTTCTTTGCAAAATCCAGCTTTGGGCCGCGCTCCAGGTCTGACCCCACGTGCCCTGGGAGGGGTGGCCTTGTGCACCTCCTAAGGTTTCCTCAGTTGGCTTTCATGCGCATTCCAGGCTGAGAACCTTCAGAGTTTTCTCCAAGGAGGAAGACCGCAGTTGTGGGGCCCAGGACTGTGAAAATGGATTTAAACTTAAACAGAAGCCCAGCCAGACTCTCCCCACCTTGACCACCCTTGAAGTAATCTCCTCTCCCGTTCACAGTCTGTCCTCCCCTCCTGCTCGCCTCCAGTAGCAGGCTCCTTCCTACCTGGCCAGTGGAAAGCACTGTTAGAGTTGAGGAAAGAGAAAGGTTCTTTGGTGAAGTGGAGGGACGGGGCGATATGTAGAAGTCAGGAGATGTGGGGGACCCCTGCAGAGGTGAAGGTCTGCCCCTGGCTAGTGAGAGAGAAAGTTGTGGTCAGGTGGGGAATTTCGTAGCTGGGCTCCTTGGAGGTGGATCAGTTTCGAGTGACTGAGGGCTGAGGTAGGCTTGTCACGGTCCCTGAGCACGGTCTGGGTTTCGGGCACTTTCTATGTGCCACCTTCACTTGATCTTTTAATAGTGAGGAAGTGGCCACCGTCAGCATTCCCGTTTTACAGAAGTGGAGACTGAGGTGTCCAGGGGCTGTGCAGCTGAGGGTGGGCCGCAGAGCTGCTCTGAGGTTGGCACCAGGACTTGAACGCTGGCCATCTGGCACCTCTGGCCTGGTTGCCTCTCCTGGGTGCCTGGGAGGCTGGAGTTGGAAGCCAGTGGCTTTGGGAGGTGGAGGGGACTGTTGGTGCGTGTGTGTGTTCTGTGGCCTCAGAGGCGACAGAGCCTGGGGGGATGGAGGACCCCATGGCAGGGAAGGGTGGACAGGTATCAGCCATGGCCTTCACAACTCTCAAAACCAGGAAACTGGTCTGAGAGCACTTGAGTGTTGGCAGGGGCTACAGGCTGGGCAAACTCCAGAGGTGGACTGGAGGAGGGTTTGGCAGGTGGCCCAGAGGACGGCCTGCATCAAACGGGATGAAAGCAGTAGAGTGCCGTCGGCATCCTTTTCTACTTCGGGCTTTGTCTGAGTAATGATAGTAGCCATGGTAATGGTACTTTCCATTACAAGTTAAGGACATCACTTAACTGGGACCCAACTAAGCAGAACCTTCCAACGATGGGAATTTCTCTGCATTTTATTTTAGGAAACCACAGCCGAAAAAAATTGGGTGGGCAGGGCATTTATTCAAATGCATTAACTTCCAGGTTTTACCCTGGAACAGTGGCCATGTGGGTTTCGTACAAGTCTATACTTTTCTACAATACAGACCCAATTACAAGGCTCGACGCAACAAATAACTGGCCGAGAAACTTAAATGCCAGGTGCTATTGGGGACATAAAATGATCTCCAATATGGCTTCTGCCCTCAAAGAATTTTCAGTTACTGTATAGAGGACTCCTTCACGTTCAGGGCGAAGAGGTAAGATTGTATTAAGACATTTAGTTAAAAGATCCTCAGGAAGATTTAAGGTTAAAAGGGTGTAGAGAAGGGGTGCCTGGGTGGCTCAGTCGATTGAGTGTCCTACTCTTGGTTTCAGCTCAGGTCTTGATCTGAGAGTCATGGAATGGAGCTCCGTGTTGGGCTCCACACTTAGCAGGAAGTCTGCTTGAGATTCTCTCCCTGTGCCCCCCAACCCCGCCACCCTGCGTGCTCTCTCTCTCAAAAACAAAACAAACGTAATAGCAAACATTTCTTTACAAACGAGGGTATGAGAGACCCCCAAGGGTATAATCTTCGGGAACATTCCAGATGTGGAGGGCGTATGGGATCATGTCTGACTCTTCAGGGCTGGGTCCATGTCCCAGGCTGGCTTGCGCCAGGCCGCCAGGAGAGCTCAGCATCTGAAAGGCACAGGTGAGAAGCGTTGTGGCAGATAGCTGGGGTTTTGGCACTGCTCCTTCTTCGTTTGGAACATCAGGAGTAAATGCAGAGGTCACTATAAATCTTGCTTCTGAGTCTGTCCTGTTCCCTTGAGAGTCAGAACCGCACAATTCCCTAGGAGTCCAGTTTGCCTTCTCTGCACGGTCCTTCCTTGGGAGGACGAGCAGGTCCCTCCCCGATGCAGCTCCAGGTCTGCTGGCTACCTCTCTGAGCACCCGAGGGGTTGCCAGGTGGAGGCTCGTGAACCAGCATGAAACACAGCCTGCACTATTTTATTAGCATTATTAGTCACTGTCATGTAAAAACATCTTCCTGTTGCAACTCTGAATTTCTGGCTTCTCATGCAAACAGCGGGTCTGGCAGTCCTGGGTGAGGCAGCCCGTCCCTTCTGCCCCTCCCTCCCAGCGCTGGCTGGTGCTTTCATTGCCATCTGCCACCTGGCTTGCACCGTGGCTTTCTCCATTTGAGTTCTACCTGTGCTCTACCAAAGTGGATTCCAAAGAGAAAACAGAATGGCATGAGGGTCTTCTACCTGGCCCGTGTGGTCCCCCCCCCCCGCCACCATCACCTGCCGGACCCCTCTGGGCATGTGTTCTCTCTGCTCTGGATAGGTGGGCAGCCCTTGTGCTTGAGTCAGCTTTGGGTCTCCGGTCTTTCTAGACTTTTCTTTAAAGCAACTGATGTGGGAGGAGTCATGATTTTCCTCTATCCAGGAACACGGGTTCCCCAGTGACACGAGATTCTGCACCTGTGGGCTGCAGGCGGCCTGCTCAGTTACTGGCGGAATAACCCAACCTTTATCTTTAAGGAACTGGTCCTTATCACTACCAGGTGGGAAGGCAGTGACCACTGTCCTGTTTCACTTCAAAGGTGGCCGAGTTTCAGAGGGGGCCCATGATATTTGGAATCAAATGTGGGGAAAGTACTGGATTCTTCAAGGGCAAAGATGCTGGTACGATAATGACTGTTTCAGGACTTCTGATTTGCTGACGTTCTCAGACCTGCCGCCTGATGGAGCGGGGCTTGAAGTGCCCAGGGCAGAGCGTGGGGAGTCAGAACCCATACAGTGAGTCCAGTGCTTGCGCTCTTGGCCTTTGCAGTGAGGGGGGCTTCTGGGTTCTTCCCTAGGCACCCGCTGGCCACCTTTTTCCACCTGTTTTTCCGGGTGAGTGCCATTGTCACCTATGTGTGCTGCGATTGGTTCAGCAGAAGCTTCGTGGGCTGCTTTGTCACCGTGCTCCTCCTCCTGTCCTTTGACTTCTGGTCTGTGAAGGTAAGGCCCCCTCACTCGTGACGCCATCGCTTGTGAACACACGAGGGTTGTGGTCACTGAGGTTCCCGAGGCACGTGGCTGATTTGGGCCAAAAGGTACTTTTCTTTGAAAGTGCAGATCCATACTTAGGAACACTGAGCCAACATCACTTAAACATTAAGAGTTAGAAAATGGTCCTGGTTCTCAGCTGCCGTGGTTGCAGATATGTTGTCTCATGAGGGTGGCAACTCCCTACAGCTTGGATTTTTTTTTTTTTTGCTAAAATTTGCATATATTTAAAATACATATTGCTACATATTGTTTGGGGGGTGTGCATGTGTGCACGGGGTGGGGAAGTCACTGGTTAAGGTAAGCTTAGTTCAGCTTACCTCTTCTGCTCCCAGGACAAGTTCAGCACAAATTGGTGACTTTTATTTTGGTCATCAGTGAAAAAATAATGACTTTCTTTCCCTCTGGTGTGTTTACAGTCCTTCTGTCCATTTCCCCCAGAATGTAACCGGGAGACTCCTGGTGGGCCTCCGCTGGTGGAACCAGATAGATGAAGATGGGAAAAGCCACTGGATTTTTGAAGCCAGAAAGGTATTGTCCATTACGAGTCAAACTCGAACCAGGAAAACGGCTGTGGCAAGTCTGCAGGGGTCCCTTCTGGGCTTTGTGCAGATCGGATTCCCGCCTAGGACTGAGCCCACGGCTGCGGGGGCGCCACCAAAACCAGCGGGTAGAAGTCCGCGGATGAGAAGCCAAGAGGACCGCGGGCTGCTCTGCGACCGTTTTTACTCATTTTGAACACGGACTCTTTCTCCCTTTAATAGGCCTCTCCGAATCAGATCGCTGCCACAGAGGCTGAAGCTCGCATCTTCTGGCTCGGCCTCATCATCTGCCCGCTCATTTGGATCGTGTTCTTCTTTAGCACCTTATTCTCCTTGAAGCTCAAGTGGCTGGTAAGGCACTACCCTGACTCGGATGGTGCTTTGCCATCTGCACAGACCAGGGTTGCAGGAGTGGTTTTTATCTGTCCGTTGATTTGAGACCGCTTTGCTGAGGTCGTTGACATACCATAGAGTCCACCCATTTAGCACGTGCAACACAGGGGGCTTCTAGTATATTCAATGTGTGGTCGTCACCACAGCCTATTTTAGGATATTTTCAGCACCCCCAAAAGGAGCCCTGTACCCCCTAGCCATCACCACCTCCAGCGCCTGGCATACTCCTCTTTCTGTTCCAACACTTACCTATTCTAGACGTTGCCTGTAACTGGAATTCTTAAGTGAAAGAAGATTACAAATGATCACACTAAACACCGAATTTCAAGGTTCATCTGTGTTGTAGCATTTATCAGTCCTTTTTTTAATGGCTGCATAATATTCCATCCTATGGACATGCTGTGTTGTTTCTCCATTCATCCGCTGATGGACATTTGGGTGTATCTTTTAGACTCCTATGAAGGATGCTGAGAGGAGTTGTAAGCAAAATCATGGGATAGCCTACTGTAGAATGTTTCTAAATAGGAATAAGCAAGCCTGAGGTCTGAAGTTTTGTTTTACAGATTTTAAGTACACTCCAGACCCAGCATGGAGCCTAACGCAGGGCTCAAACTCATGACCCTGAGATCAAAACCTGAACTGAGACCAAGAGTCGGACGCTCAACTCACTGTGCCACCCAGGCGCCCCATTTGTTTTATTACTCTAATTGCTGTGATCTGGCTCCTTCAGTGAGAAAACATCCACAGATGGTATAAGTAGCAGCATAATCAAAAGTGGGGGCCCCATGCATCAGCTCTGGGACTTGGGGCAACTCCTTTCTCTGGGTTTCTTCCCTCCCTACAAAATGGGATGATAATGGTACCACCGTCTTGGGTTGTTGCTGACTAAAAGGTGTCTGTGATTACTTGAGTGCTCAAGAAAGGTTGGCTGTTACCAGGTACAGGCCAGAGCCACTGCTATGTAGTTTGGGAGGAAAATTTCAGTAAGTGCTCTTAGAAGAATGACCTTTGCTTTGTCTGCGTGCAGGCCCTTGTGATAGCTGGGATTTCTCTCCAAGCTGCTAACCTGTATGGCTACATCCTTTGTAAAATGGGAGGTGAGAGTGACATCAGCAAAGTCACAGCCCGTTTTCTGTCCCAGACAGTGTTCCAGACGGTGAGTTACTGAGCTCTTAACTCCTGGACCCCTGTGCTCCAGATGCTTTAAGCGTAGGTGGCCTAATGGCAAATGCGATTTTAACGTTTTCCCTATCAGCTAGGCTGCCAGGGTCAGTGTTGTGTGTTTGTGTGTTAAAAGAGGCACAACGTAAAATAGAACACTTTACCATTTTTAAACTAGTCAGGGCTGTTAAATATACTCGCGCTGTCATGCAACCATCACCGCCGTCCCTCACCACACTTTTTCATCACCCCAAACTGAGATTCTGTCCCCATGACACAGTAACTCCTGGTCTCCCCTCCCCATCCTCCCACCATCTATTTTGCTCTATGAATCGGACTCTTCTAGGGCCCTCACATAAGTGGAATCCTACAGTATTGGTCCTTTCGTGACTGCCACTGTTTTAAGTGAGTTAAAAACTACAGCATTAAGTACTATACCCACAGAATTCTTTTAACCTAGCATTTATTTCTAGAAGTGTGAGATCTTTTCAATTTGACGGTTTGAGCCATCTTAGAATTTAAACAGTACTACCTTATGCCAAGACATTGAGCAATGAGCCCTGTGGGCTTTCGGTTACGTTTTGAGTTTGCTCTGGCCCTTGCATCAGCAGAATCAGGGCCCTCCTGTGTGAGGACAAAGCCACAGTTGACTTTTCTCCTTGTAGGCCAGCCCAAGCGACTTCCAGAAGCCTGGCCTTGAGGGGCTGGAGATTCACAAGCATTAGGTGAGCGGCGGGATGGGGGGGGGGTCGGGGCTCAGCTGTGCCAGTGGGCCAGGGCGCATGGCGGGGCGGGAGCCAGCTGGGGGGCCTGGGCACGGGGCCCTCCCAGGGCTTCCTGGCCCCCTCCCTCTTCTCCCATGGAACATGTGCAAATTCGACCATGGGTGCAGGCATGAAGAGAGGGGAAAGGAAAGGAGGGGAGGGGAAAGGAAAGGAGGGGAGGGGGAAGGAAAGGAGACGGAGAGAACCAAGGGATTTGCCCATTCTTCCATGGATGCCCGAAGGGAGATGGAAAACGGGAATTACCTCTTCCCTCAGTTGTCCGTTCCTATGCATATCCAGGCCATGAGAAGAATTCTAGAGTTTACATCGGTCTCTTTAAGTAATTAAAAAAAACCCTGTAAATGGTCTTGTAGGACATTGGAAATGACTGGACAGTGAACACATACTAGTTCATGGGGCACGGGCACAGACCCCCTGTTCTGTTTACATCGGTGATTTAAGGGCTTTTTGGGGCCATCTTCATTTCCCCCTCAATCTAAAGCAGTGGCATTTGGACCATGTTATTCGAAACCATGACTGTGGGTTTTGCAATGGTTCGTTTTTAGGCGTCTCTTCTGAGGCCACAGTGGCTGAAGCAAGAGGTTCGGTCCTTAAAAAAAGCTTCCAGCAGAGAAGAATTCCCTGACCAACAGGCTGTTGGTTTTCCGGAAGCAGGCCTTGGGGGAGAGGTCTGAGGAGACATTTTTATTCTTAAGACAGCATGTTTGTGAAGAATGCCTTTATATATGTTGAAAAGTGTAAATACTACAATTAAAGTGTCTCTGCAAAAATGACTTCACACCCTACCAGAATCTGGTCCCTTTCTGCCCGAGACCCCCACGCTGTCCCCAGGCTGCTCAGGCTGAGTTGCACGCGCAGCTTGCGTCTCAAATGCTCTCGTGTTTCAGGAACTGAGGAAGTGCTCTTCTTTTGGCTGATGGTGACCACAGAACTCCTGAATTCCTGGAACATGAGACAACACAGCCACAGTGGTGGTGTGCCCGTTTCTCAGGCAGCCCTGCCTCTGTTGGCGGGAGCCGAATCGCCTCACGGCTGAACTCAAATGGTCCTGTTTCTGCCAATGCCCTGACTCTTTGAAAGTGCACAGCTGGAGATCTTAACATCAGCCCATTCCACAGATCCAGAAGCCCAGGAATGCTGCTATCTGCCCTGGACACCATTTTCCTGGGCAGAAGGAACTTGCCACAGACCAAAAGCCTATAGCTTTAATGACTGCCCCCACCCCGGCTGCCTTAAAATCCAGGCCCCAGGGGGCCAATGACCAGCACATTCAGGCTTGCACATGGTGTTCCCTCCATCCCCCCAACCACTTTCTCAAAGATGCCTGGCTTCCTGGGCTGAGGGGTTATCCCAGCCCCCACGAGCATGACTGTCTCCACCCGAGGCGAATGGCAGTGACCCTGATGACCCACAAAGGGCTCTAAGGGGGATCTTCACACCCAGCCAGGCAGTGCTCTGAATTCACGGGACTCACACACACACGTACTTTGAATGATACTTCTGTAGGCCAAAGTGGCTGGAGAATCCGGTGCGTCCATCAAAAAAGACTGTCCTTTGTCGCAACTCTTACCTTAGAGAAATGAAAAAAAAAATCCACAAAGAAAACGGGCAAGGTGAACTGGGGGCTCTTTTGGACCTGTGACATTAAGAACTTGAGCGCCCCCCCTCACTTGTAGTGAAAAGCAAAGCGGAGGACACACGCCAGATAACGGGAATATAAATACACCCGTGCAAGGAGACTGCCTGGGCAGAGCCCCCGTCTGCCTGCTCCGCACTCCTGCAGAAGCAGGTCCGTGGTTCTGCTCCTCCCAGCTGCTCCCCAACCTCAGGTGGGCCCTGGTAAGGGCCGCTGCCCCCTGGGACAGGGAAACCGATGGACGGAAGGAGCCAGCAGGAGGGGCTGGCAGAGGTGGAGCCCAAGCGAGCCCAAGCTACCCTGGGAATGTGCTGGACTAGGGCTGGGAAGTCCCAGGTTCCAGAACAGTCACCTAATGGGCAGTGTGTACCGATTTTCACAGCCCTGGCTGGGACCCCTTTGCTCTCACTGTGTTCCAAGAACAGGCATTACTATCTGAAGAGCTTGTTTCTGAGGCTTTCTGGAGCTCCTCTGGTGTCGTCTCCACAACTCCCCTCCAGTTACCACCTGCTCCTACAGATGAGGCCATCGGGGCGTGGCACCTCCAGCTGGCGGTGCAAGAGCAGGGCTCTGAGGCAGGGGCTGTGGGGCCGGGGCGGGGCTGAGAATCTCAGTGCCAGAGAGGCAGCACCTCCTTTTGCCATGGAGTTCCCAGCGTGGCCTGGAGTGTGTGCCTTCACACTTTCCTGTCTGTTCCCAGGAATCTGCCTTTGCTCCCACTGGACAAAAACAGCTCTGGGGGGGGGGTGTCACAGTGACCTCACAACTTTGTCCTCCTTCCCAGCAGAGGACAGCGCTAACCACCCTGCTCTAATGCTTGCTGGCCTCGTGATTTCAGCTACAAGTGAGGCTCGAGGCCCCGTAACTTGTCACACAGGCCTGCCCACTAGAAGGCACTTCATTCTCTGAGCTTGGGACTGCGCAGCAGCTGTTTTCAGGGCCCCCCGCTTTGTTAGCATCTACTGTAAAGTGCTCAGAACCTGGCTGCGTGAAAAACGGCCCGAAAAAGAAAAGCCTGGCTGAAGCTGGAGCCAGGCAGGAAGGCACACACCTCCCCCTTCCTCTCTCCTTCCATTCTCTGCCAGGCATCGCCCTAACCTCTTGCCCACCACTCCTGCCCGAGGGACCTGGACGCAGGCAGTGGCACAGGCGGAGGCCACGGCCTACCCACTCACTCGCATGCGCCCCTGCCGTCTACCTGCCCTGAGGGCCTCTGAGCAGGAGCCGCTGGCTCCCGCACCTGCAGGGAAAAGGCGGGGAAACTCAGCACCACGTCTGGTCAGCGCCAACAGAGTCACCTTCCTGGGTGTCTGTGCCCCGGCTAAGCAGCAGCTGGAGTTTTCCGGGTCGCATGGGGGAAAGCACAGAGCAGGGTGGGGTTTCGGGGTGGGGGTCTCGGGACCCGCTCCTGGGTGCCAGGGTTCTCCGAGCAGGTGCTCGGTACCCGCGCGGCCCCTCGAGGCTGTGCCCTCCACGCCATGCTCTCGGCCCCTCCTCTCTACATGCCCCAGTCTCACCTGGAGGGTCACCTCCCACGACATTCCTGAACCTGCTGACAAACCTAAGGCCTCCCCTGCCTTGAGACCCAGCATGCGAGGGGGAACCTGGCCCTCCTCCTGACACTGCCTCCCGTGTTCACTGGGACAGGGAAACCGATGGACGGAAGGAGCCAGCCATACCCCCATCTGCTAGATGGCTCGGACATCTGCCACCTTTCTCCCCACCCATCAAGTCCTGTCACCTTCCCGCACGTGTGTGTCCCTCTCCCACCATCCCCCTGCGCCCCAGGCCTACTCCCTGCGCTCCCCTGCAGGGCCACCTGACGGCCTCCCTCTCAGCACTCACCCCCATGCCCTTAAGTCTCCGTTTCTCATATCCTGACCCCTGAAGGCCCAGCTCCAGGCTCGGCTGTACAGCCGTCCATACCTGGGCTCGAGCCTGCCTTACAGCCTTCTCCCCAGGCTTCCCTCAGGCCCAGGCCCCTCTGCTGACGCTACCGCCCCACCACTTTGCACATCACAGGTGCAGCAAACTTAAGCTAAGTCCAACTCTACCTCAGGGAAACAAAAGCTTGGAGGCAGGTGTCATTTAAAGAGTGTGGGTGACCCAACCATGCCACTTGGCGAGCTGATACTGGAAAGTGAATACCGGATGGGGATGGGGTCCACCACCACCCCCTGCAGTCTTGCTGCTGCTCATGGAGTGTCTGGAAGGGACCCAGGGCACTCTGGTACTAAAAGGGGAACACTTTTCATGCCATGGGGCCCCTATAGGCAGGCCAACGCCCTCATCTAGTGCTGAGAGAGACAGGGCTGTCCACACTGTGCTGGACTTCCCGGGAGGCAGGATGTCCTCCTAAGGGGTGTTCGAGGCTAATTCTGCTCATGACTTTCACCTCAGAACCTAATTCCTGTCTGAGCACGTCCCTGACCAGTCTTCACCCCCACCTTCCAGGCCTCACCCCGCCACCCTCCTCACACGGAGGTCTGCTCACTCCCATGGCGACATGCCCTCGCAGTTGATGGTTTCTCTTGGCTGGAGGGGAGCTCCGGAGTGTGGGCTCTTCGTCTGCTGCCCCCACCCCCCACCGCCCCCGCCCAGAGTCATGCCCGTGGCGGGTGAGCAGGGTGTGAAGGCCCCGTCTGGCAACGGACGGTCGGGATGGCATTGAGACTCACCCACCTATGTGTGGGTCCAGAGGCACTTTTCCGAGGAGCGGGATCTTCAGATCCTGGCACATGACCTCTGCACCCCCTGTTGTTGGTGGGAATATCTGAGATTCTTTCTGAGAGGCAAGTTAAAAGGGAGAATTAGGATTTTGTTTCAGATTCATTAAAAATGGACATTTTTAAGCAACTTAAAAAAAATGGCTGTCGAAATGCGAAACGTTAACCACCAGACGAATTTTCATTAACTCAGCAACAGACATTTTTGTGATTGCACTTCCCAAAACGACGGAGAAAAGCAGCAATAGTGTCGCCGAGACCCCTTTCCAGGCTTTCTTCCTCCACAGAAGGGACCGCTTAGCTGAGCCATGGGAGGCTGCGTTCCCACCTTGCACTTCGGGCAGATGAAGACACTCATGTTCTCCACCACTCCGATGATGGGCAGCTTCACCTTGTGGCAGAAGTTGATCTCTTTCCGGACATCCTGGAGGGACACCTCCTATCAAGGTTCAAAAGACCATTTGTTTCAAAGTCAAAGTGGAAGAAAGAGTGTTTTGCGTGGTTGCAGGGATGGCTGGTGCGATGCAGTGGGCTTACCAGCATAAAGCCTTAGAGACTTACTCACCAAGTATCTCTCT